ATATATATATATATATATATATATATATATATATATATATATATATATATATATATATATATATATATATATAAAGATATTCAGTAAATAGTTTAAATGAATCATTGATCACTTTCGCCAGGGATGTATTCCGTACAGAAGTGTCGTATTAGGAATAAAAATCCTGAGGAAGCGAAGTGCAAACCAACATTGAATGAATGATACTGAAAAGTGAAAAAGGTCATAATCTGTGAGGAAGGGAAAACAACAACAGCAGGATCCAAAAGCTTTCAATTTATGGAAAGAAGTAATAAATTTAGGCTTAAGTTTGCAAGGGAATTCAGGAAACCGAAAGTTCGGTTCTCAAAGACAAAAAATGTTCAGGCCATACTGTCCACCTGATCATGAGCATCAAACAATGAAACCAATTATTTTTTTTGCGCAAAAATTCACTCCGTGAAATCTCCATCACTTAAGCCAGACAGCACGAAGTGTCCTAAAATTAATAACAAAACTATCCCAGAATAATATACAAATAATAATTCTCATGAAGACAGGCCTCTAGATCCAAACCTCCCCATATGGACTTCTATGACTCTACGGTCAGCACAAACGGACAAAACTGATTCGTCCTAGATATAAACTTCTGATATAGACAAAATCGAACTCGTTCGATATATCGCAGTAATAGGTGGTCATCATTTTATACTGATTACTGATCACTGTGCGGCAAAAAAAAAAAAAATGAAACAAAACAACTGATAGTGTGCAAGAACAAGTTTCATGAAAAGTTCTGCAAATTTTCTTTTGACCTAGCTTAATAACAAATCAGTCATTCAAGTAAAATTATTCTTTGACCCCCAACAAAAAATTAAGAATTTACAAATAGGACAATTTTTTTTCCTCAAAATACGAAAAGAATCCTAAAATTGTGTTTATGAAAGATAAAGTGAGGAAAGAGCGGAGATGATAAAGGAAAAAACCAAGACAGAATAAAGGGAAGAGTAACGCGCAGGATTAATGGTAAATCGATCAAGATGTGCTACTTGAACTAATTTTAGTAACAATGCCTCCTATGCGCACACTTCTATATTTTTTACCAAACGAACCACACTCTTGATATCCATTTTAGCGACTTTCTCATTTTCTAAAATAGCGCGGGGCGGTATTGCTCACTGGTACACGCTTGACCTAATCATCAACGACCACTGCATCATACTAAATATCATATAGCTGACACCGAAAAAAAATGTATTGCCAATTACATTATTCGAGTGATATTTTAATGTCAGTGAGTTGATAAATCGGAATGTTACAAAATAAGTTGATATATAAACATAAATTCCCCCACTTAAATTGTTACACATAATGCGACCGACTATTCAGCCTGGCAGTCTCCTCTGCTTTATTTCTAGACTTCCTGAGAATCTCTCAAATTTCCCTTTTCCTTGTAGCTTAAGAGCAATTTAGGATGATGCTGATTATAACAGCGTGCAAAAAGTATAGAGACATAAAAAAGTTTTCAAAATAACATGGGAAGATGCATGAGTAAAGATGAAACATCATATTTCGATTCTAGAAATTCACACAACAGATTGCTATTATGAAACAACGAGGACAGTGACTGCTAGGACATTTCACATCTTACTGCATGGCTATTTTAGAACAACGAATGCAAAAGTTTCAAGAACAAAAGTGGAGAATGATATAATAGATGAAGAAAAGCAAAATCTTTCCACGAAAATCTTCCAGCTGTGAAAGAAAAAACTTGAACGCTTCAAGCCCCCCAAAAAAATGAAACAAGGTTTGGACGATGAAAGTCTCATAATTCAGCTGACAAGACGTCAACCTGGAAATATCACAAGTCTAAATGAACAAGAATAATGAATCTAAACTAACGATGTAAAGCCTTGAGTCTATGTTGAATTTAAGTCACTTTTGGCGCTATTTTCACTTCATCATAAGTTCTGATTACTGAAACTAGATGTAAACATGTTAAATTCGCATCAATAACATCTACTTTTGCGACTGGTGTAAGAAGTGGCTTTAAAAATTACTTTTTATTCTTTTTCCATGATATGAATATTTCTATGACAAAAATTTTTTTTATTCTTTTTCATTATATTACTTGACCTTATTTTATATTTTTATTTCTGTGGTTATACTCTTAAGAACACAAGCATCATTATCATTCTAAAATCAGAACGATATAACATGCAACAATCTCCAAATAAGGTCAACACTTCAAAATATACCATACAAAACACGGACACTTATTGGCCACCTTATTATTAACAGTATAAAAGAGCCAACAAAAACAAAGCACAGGAATGTTGCTTCATACAACATCACAAATATCGTGAAATATGACCAACCACGGAACAGGAGTAATACCAACAATGATTTTCCTACTAATGTCATAACAGAATATTTTCTACAAGCAGTAGGATAAGAAATATGAGTGTTATGCAGCTAATTTTCTCAATATTAAGCTTCCTTAACATCCATTAAAATATGGAATAATCACTAAATGGAAAAGAAAGAAGAGAGATCAAATATTTTTTAAACCTCTCACAACCGAAATAACGTTTGCCGCTGGATCAACGCGGCATAGCCTCAGAAACGCATTCTTAATTTTTTGAAGCATATCCTTCGAATGTTATGCAAAAAACAAAACAGTTGGAAGCACCTCCTCCAGATTTATTCTTAAAAATCCCCTAAAAGCTTCCGAAATTTGAAAAACACTTTAAACTATGCGCAAAACTTGAAACACTCGAATGACCGCAAAATATTTCAAAATAATTCACTTAGCCCGACATAAGAATTTAGGCCTCTGAAAAAGGTATTTCAGAAGCTTAAATTTTCTATGATCTGTAAGATTATTGTAGAAAGAAATTTAATAAAAGACCCGCCAAAAGCCACAATTTATCCTTAAAGTCATTACTAGATGCCATATTACACTCGCCAGCGAAGAAATGGACTATTCAACCGCAAGTTTTTCTATCACGTAGCTTTACAAGCCAAAGATAAAATGCCCTGAAATGCACAGTTAAAGCTGAAGGTGAAGAACAACAACTGAGGAAGTAGCCCTTAAGCAATCATTTTTAGTAACGAGGTAAATGGCGATGAAAGTCAATCTCCTACGAATTTCATTCCAACCACGCCACTCCGCATGCACTGAGTCCAATCCTAGAATATACTATCAAGTAGGAGTAGCAGCTGGCCAGTGAAGGTAAGTTAAAAATTCGACGATTTTATCGCTCATCAAATTTAAGTTGCATCATGTTTTGATATTTTAATAATGTTGGATCGCCATCTACGAAAACCAAAGCGATCAAAATTTCAAATAAGATACTGCGCGACGAGGATAGAAAATGAAGGAAAGTAGGAGAAAAGAAAAACCTTGCACCGTTATTAAAACAAAGGGGATCCCTATAGCTACATAGAGGCTTGCTGGACAGATTGTCAATAAAGTGAAAGGAAGCTCAGTGACCACAAAGTAGAATGCTACGGTAATACAACAAGACTTGTTGCTTAAAGAAAAGATGCCTGTATGGAAGAACTGTAGATAGACCAGATATCGGATCAAAGCATTCTCCTAACTGAAGCATACATATATAGCAACAGCAAACATGATTAATGCGTATAATTGGTAAAAGCGAACCTTCCGTTGCTCACGTTCCTCATCGCCGACTGCTGAGGAGTGTCCTACCATGCACCCCATCAGTCGCATCGCGTTGCGTCCTCAATGACGCGTCAATGTCGAAAATCCCGACAGTTTTGCCAAGGATGCAAATGCGGCGACTCCTCCTAAGATCTTTGAAGCAATCACTCCTGCAGGGGAATAGTAATGATATGTAAGATGAGGAGTGAAAGGAAAGGAATGGAGGGATTCACCAGTGTCGCCTCTTGTGTGATTCTCAATCCGGACAAAAGTTTCTTCCTGTTGACAACTGGAACGAATTTGGAAAAATATTTGGAGCCAATACCAAAGATATGGACAAAGATGGCGGTAATGACGGGAGAGACGTGAACGGAGAGGAAGAGGGGGAGGAGGTATCCCACAGTACTGTCTACAGAAAGAGCAGCAGGGGGAGACGCTGATAATATAGCAGTGGCAGTAGCAGCGGTAGCAGCAGCAGCAGCAGTAGTAGTAGTAGTAGTAGCTGCTATCGTGGCAAGTAGAGAAAGAGCTGCCTCAGGTGGTGCTAGGGAGGTAGAGAGGGAGAGAGTGCTGAAGAGTGGGTACATGGAGAGTGTCAACAAGCAGAATGAGAGAGGAAGGGGTGGCAGTGATGGAAACTGGGTGGTGGAAACTCATGCAGGAAGCGTTCACCCTACCCTGCAGCCAACTCTTGCAGTCTGCGATTAATGCAGAAGTAGTGAAGTATGTTCCGTTCCTCTTCTTCCTCTCTCTTTTAACACTATTCCTATCTTTTGCTCCCTCCTTTCTTCCTCTTACATATACATATTGAAGGTGCATTGCCGTTCCGGCTACCGCAGCGTTGCAGCGGCGGTGATAGTGATGGCTGTAGTCACTGTGTTTTGATAAATGGATACCAGGAAGGACAAGCTTGGCTGAGGAGCGGCGCAGTATAGGATGGTCTGAACAGAACACTGTTGTGGGAGCCCACTCTTCGCTCGCGCTAATTTAAACCTTGATAATTTGGCGCCCTCCAGAAACATCATGACTTATCAATGAGCAGTATTATGTGCTAGGTGTGCTCTTTTCTTGAATGACGTTCCCTTT